TTTTGCTTTTTTTCCTTATTTAAAAAAAAAAAAAAAAAAAATCTAAATCAATAATGTTAAAATATTTAATTAAAAAAAAATAATCTTTCATTTTGTTATTTGGAATAAACGTGCTTTTAAATGACATTCATTAAATTGTTTGTATGAATAATACATATGATTTTTTCGTATTTTTAAATTAAATAATGCATTTTAAAATACTTATCTTATTAAATATTTTAAATTAAAAATAATATTAAAATATAATCTTAATTGTATTTAACTTTTTTGGGAAATATTATTATAATAAATATTATTATTATTATTATTATTATTATTATTATAGTAAATACTGGTATTATAGTAAATATTTTTTCATTTGAAAAGGAAATATTACATTTCAGTAACATGAGAATATAAACATTTATGGCCTAGTTTCAATTAATTCCTTTTTAAAATGAAAAGAGCTTGCATTTTTTCTCTTCTTAATTTGAAGTTGAATTATAATAAAATTGAGAGAATGTGTCCTAGCGTTCTAGCTCACATACTAAGTTTGTAACATTTAATTCTAGCAAAAGACAGCATAAAACATGAAGGTATTACAACATTAAGAAAGAAAAGTTATTTGATTATGTCGTTGTGGGTCATGTTCGGCCTGAACACAGACATGAGATGGATCTCCTCAGTCTATCGCAAAGCGTTGTAGGATACGTCACCATATCCCAACAGAAAGGCAGGCGTGCCCGCGGTGACACGACCTTGGGTTTCTGCGTGTGTGTGTGTGTGTGTGTGTGTGTGTGTGTGTGTAGGCGTGAGGTGTGAAGTGGTCACTGTGGGGCATCGGCAGCAGCTGCAGCTGTCCACTCAGGGGTGTGTGTCCCGGGGTGTGATGGCCAGTGAGGGTCTGCAGAAGGTGGTTTAGCCACAGCGTGGCAAAGTCGTCTGTTTGCTGAGGAGGTGACCAGGACCCCTGGGGGAACAGAAGGAGGACACACACACTTCCACAAACACACGTGCATGCTATTTGAAGAGTCAAACCGAGACACCATACTGGACATTAGCACCAAACACCGCATGACAGTTGCATTATCTTCCACTTCAATAGTTAAATGATATATAGACCTTATTCATTTTAAAACTACTTAGTTTTATTGCTCAGATGTGCTCTTTGAGACTTAACTGAGTCCACAGTTGAATTATATTGAGGTATTAACTTTGGTGCTTATATATACTGTATATATAATATAAACAGCTTAGATAATTTGGTTTTGGAATATTTTAATGAGAAATGTTAGTTATATTTATATAAAAAATCTGAGAACAGTTTGAAATATTGTTGAGATCTGAAATTATTGATGAGGCCAGCAGTATGTAAAGTTTTGGACTGGATAATTTGAGTAAAATATTATTTTGTCATATTTTTTGTTGGTATTATGCAATTATATGTTATGCATCTTCTTTAGGGCCCATTTTTTAATCTTAAAAATGTAATCTTTATTTTTGTTATTAGATCTTTAGTTTTTTTTTTATTTGAAAACATGTTCTTAAATGTTCATAGGATAATTTGTGTAAAATATTATTGTCATATTTTGTTATACAAATGTCAGGGCTTTTCATTACATTATTTTCTAAGATTTTCTCTCTTATTTTTGAAAAATATTAAAAATCTTGTTAAATATCTTTTAAAAAATAGAATTTAATAATAATTTAATAAAAACAATAATAAAATCATTCAATAAAGTGTAAAACTAAATGTTTTATCAAATCTTTCATATAAAAATTAAATAATGTTTTTAAGAATTGTCATATTTTTTGCTATTATGTAAATGTCTTGTGCATCTTTGGTTCTTTTTATGACTTTGTTTTTTAAAGATTATATCTCTTATTTTTGAAAATGGTTAAAAATCATGTTAAGTAAATTTCAGAATTTAATTAAAAATAATTTGATTAAGTGTTTTATTAAATGTTTTATTAAGTCTTTAATTAAATTTTTTTATAAAAATCCACATTTTTTGTTAAATGTTTATAATAATATAAAAATGCTCATGATGATGAAGTTTTTTTATATTAAAAATGCATATACTTCAAAGGGTGTGTAAACTGTGTGTATGTGTGCCTTTGATGCTGCAGGTGAGCCGGCCTCAGAATCAGTCTCCTCCTTTGCATAAGCACTAATGACAGCAGCCAGCGTATGTAAATGAAGACGCTTCGCTCTGATTGAGAGAAAGCAATGTGGCTGAGTAGCCGCACACTAATCATCCCAGCGGGGAGCTCCATCTGATTCAGTCCCATCATTCCGCATGTGTTCAACATCGGCCCATTTAAATGTCAGGCCTTGATGGGCCACCCCAACTGCAGACGGGAGGGGTGGGAGACGAGAT